TAAGGGGCGTTGGGGTTTTTGGTTTTGGGGGGGGGGGGTGTCCCAACTTAAGCTGAATTTTCTGACGCTGACTTGAGGCTGTTGCCTGTTTCCCCTTTGCCGAAAGAGAGTCTGTGGTTTAAGTATTATATTGTTATAACAGCCGACTTTGCAGGCTTTGGAGCAAAGGAAAAGAAGGGGCCATATGCTGTGTGTGACCTAGCTTAGCAGGTTGTATGTCTTGTTCTCTGGTGTGTTTCAGTGTCATTTACATTTATTGCCACAAATACTAACTTATGGTGTAGGACTTGGGTTGTCTGCTGTATTACACTTAAAACAGATAGTTTGAGGGTTTTCTGTTCTCATTTCTTTCATTTGTCCCCTAGCCTTAATGCATTACATACTACAGACCAGGCTTCCCTCAGCCTCCTAAGCAGTTGGTCTGAAGGCTGCATAAGTTTTAGCCCAATCGGCTAAAGCGGCTTTTGACCCTCATCTTTCTAGATGCTCATAAAATGTATATGGGCTCTCAAATGCCTCATGGAAGTTTGGAAATGCAAGAGTAATAAGAGTAAGACACAGGGGATGTGATGGAAAAGGCTGACTTTAAAAATCAAGGTAGCAGATTATGTTGCAGATTTTATGTCCATTTCCCCCCAATGACCTGGACAGCTTTCTAGATTGCCAAAGCAAGGGCGTAACCTTCATATTTTCTCTCCTTTTGCGTAGATTGAGCGGCTAGAAGTGAGCAGCCTAGCACAGACCTCCAGCGCAGTGGCCTCAAGCACTGATGGCAGCATCAATGCTGACTCTGTGGACGGGACCCTAGATCCTCAGCGGACAAAGGTGGCTATCACTCACCTACAGCAGAAAATACTGAAGCTGACAGAGCAGATCAAAATTGAGCAGACTGCCCGGGATGATAACGTGGCGGAGTACCTGAAGCTAGCTAACAACGCTGACAAGCAGCAGAGCGCCCGCATCAAGCAGGTGTTTGAGAAGAAGAACCAGAAATCAGCTCAGACCATCCTGCAGCTGCAGAAGAAACTAGAACACTACCACCGGAAGCTCCGGGAAATCGAGCAGAATGGCATCCCGCGGCAGCCAAAGGATGTCTTCAGGGATATGCATCAGGGCTTGAAGGATGTGGGAGCTAAGGTTACTGGTTTTAGTGAAGGGGTAGTGGACAGTGTTAAAGGTGGGCTTTCCAGTTTCTCCCAAGCAACACATTCGGCAGCAGGAGCTGTGGTATCCAAACCTCGGGAGATTGCCTCCCTGATAAGGAACAAGTTTGGGAGTGCAGACAATATTGCTAATCTGAAGGACTCCCTGGAAGAAGGGCAGGAGGATGGGAAGACTCTGGGTATTCAGAACTTTCAGTCAAGCCCAAAATACGGCAGTGAAGAGGACTGCTCCAGTGCCACATCAGGCTCTGTGGGAGCCAACAGCACCACAGGAGGCCCGGTGGGAGCTTCCAGCTCCAAAACAAATACTCTGGATATGCAGAGCTCAGGGTTTGATGCAATACTACATGAGATTCAAGACATCCGAGACACACAGGCAAGACTGGAAGAATCCTTTGAGAGCCTTAAGGTTCACTATCAGCGGGATTATTCGTTAATAATGCAGACTCTGCAGGAAGAACGGTACAGGTAAGCATGTCATTCATTAGCCCCCATATTAACTGCTCCAAGTCAGAGCAATGCAAATCTCGAAAGATTCTGCAGACTATGGACCATAACTTTTAATTCATGTGTGAAACTCCTTAGTCTTCTCAGACCTTGTAACACAACTTTAACTGGTGTCCTCTGCCACTTCACTGTTCACCCCCTTTCAGAACAAGAAGGGAGTAGCAAAGAAGGGCCTGGCCTTGGAGCTGCGATTCTCAGGTAAGAAGTTAACTAGAGAAGGTTTTGAGACCTCATGGTAAGGAATGCCCCCCCTCAGCTGTCATCACAGTACTCCTGTTCTTCCAGGTAGGG